AGGTTACAATGAGTGGAGCGGTCGACCGTTTCAAGATGGCGGCCCTACAGCTCGTCAGCGCCAATAGGGGATAGCATCAATGCTGTATCTAGCATAAATATAAACACTAGATGCCTCACTGGCTGCTGCGGCGCAGGATTTTCAGCCGCCATCTTGAAACGGTCGTCCTTATTTGGTTAAAGCAGATGTTTCAGCACTTCGCAGCTTATTTCTGTTCAGATCGACGGATTGTTGACGTCAGGTCTCGTGGGATAACTTTTCACAAGTAAGATGAACATATTATTGTTAGTATTTTGTGAATATAATATTACTGTACTGTATTTATGTCCACCAGCTGATGTGATGTTCAGTGTAACACGGTGTTCAGCTGCAATGAAGCTGACTGAGATCTGATGACAGGAATATTTTTCTAACAAACGTACTCACTATTTCAGAAGCTTTGGTTCATTATCAAGAGATATGTATCATAACTGGAGTTTTGTTTAAGTTCTAGGAAATAAAAAAATAAAACTAGGGAGAATATAGGAAATAGAAAACAAGCTTGACCTCCTCTGTACAATGTTTTTGTGTAGACACAAATCTCCTGTTTTCATTTTGAAGGTTTCCCAAAGAACAAGATGTGAGGAAGAGGAGGAAGTATCTTTGAGGAGGATTCATCTGAGCAGTGAGGATTTTAAACTGGAGGATTTTGATCAAACTGATCAGACTGTCCGACTGAGAGATGGTGTGGTACCATCGGTTCATCTTCAAAGAGTAGGAGCATCATTATAAGTTCATTAGAGTTCATAAAGTTACATATTTTATTGTCAGTCACAAGGTGAGACACCTCCATGTGTTTATATGAACAGGTAACTATAGACTGTAAAGTTCATATTCATGATGCTTTTTTCATTTCAGCTTGAAAACTGCAGGACTACAGGAACTCAACAAAAGCTGGAGCTGCTCTGTCTGTGGCCTCTCAGGAACGTGCACGTCACACACACAACCTCGGCCTCATGATGTGAGTATTTCTATTTTAAACTTTTATTTTTTCATTTAGCCTTTATTTATCCAGGTAGTCTCACTGAGTCAAGATAACTCATTTTCTAGAGAGACCTGTTTAGGAGCCCATGGTGGGGGTTAAGGGCCTTGCTCAGGTGACCAGGGTGGGGCCAATGAGGGTGGAGGCAGGTGTGGGTGTTTCACCTTTTCCACCTCATTTTGATGTTGACGGTACCGGGAGTTGAACCTGCGACTTTCCAATCACAGGCCCATCTTCTAACCTCTGCTCCACCACTCCCCCACATAACATCATATCATAATGATCATATTAAAATCTCACTGGTTTCCTTCCAGATGTGTTAAACAGCTACTGGTCCCCCTGATGTTTCCAGGTGTCTGTGGTCAGTGGATGAAAAGCCTGGCATGAACAAGATGATGCTGGAGATCATCATTTGACGAGAGCTCCCACCTTCTAACTGTGAAGAACAAGAGCAGCTCAGTGATTCCCTCAAGGCTCAGTGAAGGTGCTGAGAGCTGCAGAGAGGCTGATCCATGGAGCTTCAACACAGCAACCTCCAAACATGTCCACCCTCACACACATTGTCCGCGAAGAGACTGGATCAGAGCACAAGATAATAAGACAGTGATAACAACGACAATAATACACATTCACAAATGATTCAGACAAATTTAAGTTTTTTTAATTGTTTGTTTGTTTTACAATTAAAAACAGTTTGTTATCCACTGTTGTCATCACTCTTTGTTAAAATCCAGGTCTCTCTTGTAAATTAGTCCTATTGGCTCAGTGGAACTAACCTGTATCAATAAAGGTTGAATGAATATAAATATATACATAATGATTTATTCAACCTTTTATTTATACAGGTTGGCTTCATGGAGCCACAAGGACTCATTTACAAGAGACGTGCTCCAGACAGAACAGTAAACAATGGCAATGATAAACTACAGTAAAAATGATAGAG